AGTGTTATTGATCTTCCAATAGAATTTCGAAATTTTCTCCTGGCATAATGACATTATTTGTCTATTATGAACGTCAGAAAAATAATTAGAAAATAAATACCTTCGTACTACAAATAGCAAGTCTTCTCCAATAGAACACGTACAGAAAACGCCACACACGAGATATATACTATTTTTACAATTTACAATCAGTTCATAAATATTCAGCGGACAGAATCTTACGGAGTGATAAAACTAGATGTAAACAATGAATATGAAGCAGATTCATATTCATCTTTTGGGATTCTTTGAATGAAAGGTAGGTTGAAAATGAATAATCTATTCCATAAATAATTCTCAAAATCCATTAAATTTTTCCACATATATTTGCTTCACTCCTCCCCATCCTGAAATCTCATGAGCTGGTTGGGATTGAACTGAAGCAAAATATATTATTCTCAAACTAGGGATGCTCAATACATATTTCAGACGATCGAATTCAGGAATGAGACATATAATTATTCTCGAAACATAACCTATACATACTGTCTGTAGGTTGAATCAAATTCTTTAAACGTATATAGTGACATTTTGGAGCAAATCATTTGATTTGTCTCAACTACACGTGTATCGAAATATTCTTAATTTATTTATTTAATAGAGACAAGGAGAGAAAATCCCAAAAAAATCTGGAATAATGAAAAATCTTTATGATCATCCCACTTCAGGATATTATCAATTATCATTCCAAGGTATTTTAAACAATTAGTTTCATGAATGTTGATTTTTCTGCTGATTTTCACATAGTACCTGAATTTGGTTGAGAATTCTCATCGAAAGTGGGTCATAAATTAGCTTTTCTCAAAACTGATTGTCAATAAATTATTATCAAACCACTTCTTGAGAATTGGGAAATCCATGACCACTTTTCTTTTCAATTCCACCCAATCCTTTGCAGAGTATAATATAACAGTATCATCTGCAGAAGAATGTATATTACCAATCGAATTCACTTGATATAAATCATGTACATGATTATTCAAAAAAAGTGGATCATTTCCTTGAGGAACACCATACTCGAAATATTCTGGAAAACTATAAATATTGTCGATTACAACTGATTTTTCTCGGTCAATAAATTTTGTTTCAAATTGTAACTAACTCCACGAAATCCAATATCTTGATTTTATTTAAGCAGATCATTACTTACTGTATCAAATACTTTGGCTAAATCAAGAAATATACATAGAGTTGGCTGGTTTTCACTAATCAATTCATATAAGTCATTCGGTAGATAATAAATAGCATGCTGAGAAGAATAGTTATTTATTATACAAGGGAAAAAAGTAGTAGATTTTAGCTCCAGGTTGTGTTGAGACAAAAAACCGTGAGCTAAAATCTAATATTTTTCCCGTGTATGATACACTATTTTTTTCTGTGACAGAAAGAAGGACGAATCAATATTGAGAAGATATTACAATATTTTGAAATCTGAAAATTATCGACGTGAAATTTTAAGTTTTTAACAGTAGGGACACCTGCGTTGTAGGCATCTTCATCATTCTTTTGAAGTAATCAAATAACTGATGTCACTTCTGACAGTCTAATTCTGTGATTTGATTTCAAAATATTGCGAATTTTGTGGTTGTTTAGTAATATACGTAACCGCGAAGTCGAATGGAAGATAAAAGGACTTTCAGTTCTTTCTCGGAGACGGTATTATTGACTCATTTTTCGGAACTATAGCACAACAAGCCATCAACAGTGTTTGTATATGTGATATATATCCGGGCAAAAAGTACTCACTTTTTTCCCACGGGAAAAATGTAATTTATGAAAAGTGACATTTTATAACCTGCCAACAGAGATGAAATGCCAAACTTTTTTCCCGTCACAGAAAAAACACTTTTTCTGAATATCAAACAAGTTTTCTTGTGCAAGTGTTGCTCTCCCTCACTTTTACCTGCACACATTACATGAGACCAGATACCAGTCCAATTTTTTTCAAATGCATGGTTTTCGTTATACATTTTGGTTTTGATATTGAAGTGCCACATTACACTAAACTATTTCAGGGTTCAACTGATCACTTTATGGATGCATACAGAAGTTCAATTGAAATGTCATGCCATGATACTTTTTTGATGCTTCAAAAGTATGGAGAACTATATGAGTCTATAAAAATACTTCAACTGAGAAATATGTGGCATTATTTGACTACTCAGAAATAAAATGTTATAACTCAAAACAAAAGAAATAATATCAATTAGTTTCCACTGAGTGGGTTTCATTGACTAACCCTTCATTATTTTTTTTTATGTATTCATTTACCCCTACTATAAACAGAAATGTTTCTTGGGGCAATGAAGACCATCAATCCCCTCTCATTTGCTTTTTGTTTCAACCCGTTATCGCATGATAAAAGTATGTCCAGAATAACGGCAGGAAACAAATTGCTGTGCCGTAGATATGGCTCAGATTGACGGGTAGCACAGGAAGATTTTTGAGATCTATCAGCCGATTGGTATCAGATGGCACAATTCTTATCTCGTTAGTTCGCCCTTTTTCATAATTTCGCTCAGGATAGTGATTCTCACAGGTGCCGTTCGATCAAATACAATGTTTTCACATGCCTATGGAATATAATTATACTATTTTTATTATGAGATGACGGTCAGAATTTGCAGCCGGCTTTCCCACCATAACGAATTTGGTGGCTACGTCATTATCCTCTACTCCTGAATGTCCCAGAACCCATAAAAGGGTGCAGGAGTGTTTGGGCATCTCCAAACCATTTCATAACTGATTACGATGAAGCTCAACGCTTCAATGATTGCTCAACTATCGTACATGATAATACAATACAATATACAATACAATGCATGATGATGATTTCTCGTCTCTCCAAAGAATTTTCTAGAGCCATCAATTCTCTACCGTATCGAAAATGCTCAGAAATAAGCCGATGTCTTCCTGATTGAGACCATTTCTTTGTACAGTTTCAGACCCTCTGACTATTTCGCACGAAGTAGGTCATTCACTGTGAGACTCCGCATTCCGCATCACTGGAGACAAAACTATGCCGCGAGCAGCCTCTGCTTTTTCGGATGGAGATACTCTCCTACCCAACCTTTGTATCAGCATTATTTGTAAGGAGCATCGGAATTTTGTTCCATAAGGTTCATTGGGGTTCGAACTATCACGGTTCTAGAACTATCAGGAGTTTGTGCAGTAGAATCGGTCGCGTTCGGGTTCTGTGCAACTGTTCTAGGACTGCCTCTTTACGCGTTCTGGTTTTTCCAGAATCGTCCTGGGACTGTCCTAGAACTATCCGAAACCAGTACCTGCTCTCGAGGATGAACCGTTCAAGGATTATTTTTGGCGCATGCTCATTGTCATTTAGTTTTCGATTCTGTCTGTTGTTGCGTGACGTCAAAATGATGTATTTTGTTTATTATACTGTTTATTGCTCATTTCAATATTTTCTCGATATGATGGACTTAGTACATTCATTTGATAGTAATAGATCTTCATCTCCAGGAAGCAGTGATGAAGGAGTCACTTGAAGTTGCTGAAAAATGATCGCACCTTAACTGATAATTCTCGAACTTTTGTGAACCGAAAAATGGAGGATCATGTTGGGAAGAATTTTCCATTATATTCAGATACGCAATTCATACAAGGGAGAAAACATATTAGAAATCTAGCTACGAATGGAATTCTATGATGGAATATATTCACCATTTCTCCACAGAGATATTGTGAATCGACTCAAATGATAGTTTGAAGCTTCAGAATATTATTCGAATGAAGATATAGGTGCCAAACTATAGTTTTTTTCGCAAATTCTGAATAGATTCTTTATTCTCAGAGGTTCTCGTCTGCCGCGTTCGGGTTTTCATAATTTGTGAACCGTTCTGAAACTAGTTCTACGCAGTTCGAGAATGATTCTTGAACAGTTCTGAAATCGGAACCCGAATGAACCGATAATCTCCTCAAGTTTTCAGTATTTTCTCGACTGCTTCATGGGAAAGTGTTGCCAAAAACCACCTCTATATTCATGGATGACCATACTATCGTTTGTTTTTTCAATAATGCACCTGGATGTCATCTTTTGACTGTACTCGGACGGTTTCTGAAGATCTACCCATTCGATGTGCGTGCTGACGGTGGTAGAATGGTACCCTGTTTGAATATTCATCTATAGTGTTTCTCATTGTTTCCAACAAGGATAATATGGGGCTGATTAGTCTGAAACACTTCGAATGTTTGACCTTGCCCATTTCCATGCTTTTGTTATATAGCCTAGTTCTAGACTGCTTCAACTTAAGAGACGATGTGTGGTAGATTCTTCTTCAGCGCCTGCTGAAGTGGAGCTAGAAATAGTTTATCTTCTACCGGAGATTCAAACCACTCCTAGTGAAAACACTTGAGTCAGAATAACGTAGTGAAATTACCACAATGATTGGTTGGAATATAGCAAAAATGTCGCTGACATACACTTCCGTTTCAAGCAGTATACAAACATGTTTTCAACCACTTATTTGATATCAGTCAATTATTTCCAAATGAGTCATTCTTCACGTATTTTCATCATCATCAGTTTCCGATTGAACGAACTATCGAGTACATCACGAGTTATGAATATGTTAACTTCAATTGTTTTTCTAATAAACAATAATTACTTGGAGGTATCGACGTTCTGCTTCAGCTTTTAATAGTGATTGTAGATCAACACAATGTGAGGAGATGTTGAGAATGGAACGTCTGCATATCGTGTTAGTTTTTCGTTTTTTCTTTTACCAAATTTCAACATCGAAATTCTTATAACCAGTAACGTCATTTTCACGACTTCAACCGTTATTCGACGTTTTATGAACGAGTATCACTGGGCAAAAAGCTGTTCAATGCCCATCTCATAGAGCAACTCCTTCACTACTTTCCTTCGATGAATATAATATATCAGATCATGCGATATGATTGGGTCACAGTGAACTTTCTTAATCTCACTTAATTTCTAGGTACAAGAGTGTGATTTCATGGAAGCGAGACTGAATATATTACCGTCGTCATTGAAGCAAGGTCAGAAGATGAGACACATGAGCAGCATCATCAAGCCGCTCTTGATACGGCAGGAAAACAAAATTCTAGAGTATAGTCAGTTACTTTGGCCACACTTCTTTCAAGAAGAGTACAGGTAATAAAACATCTTTACAAAATACATTCTAGAGTGGACTAGAATCTCTTGATATTCAATAAATCACTTATCAATACATAAAAACTCAGTTATCTACATAGCTCCTATTCAACTGATCAAAGATCAACAGTGATGAAACATGTTCCAGGCTTTCATGAGTTTATCATCTGCCAATTGGATGGTGAACAGTTAAGGAAATGAGGAATAGGAAAAATGATGAAATTCAACTATTGTTGGCAAGAGCTGATTCATCCTCATAATGTTGAGAGAATAATATTGAATATAATATCGAGGGTCGTGTTATCATTTCATGAAAACCCACGTGCCTCAAATTGTGGCAATTATAATCGTATAAGCATTAAATATCGAATAATAAGATAGCTCCATCAAATATGTCATTAAAGTATTTCATATAGAACCATAGAATGTGATGGTTTGAAGATAATAAGATTGAACAATTCATCATAGTGATCATAATCGTTTGTGGGTGCCCAGTAGCACATGGCGACAATATGACATCTAGAAGACGGCATCACATTCGGCCAAAAGACGTATTTCTATACTATCCAAACGAATCCAAACGATCCGAATCGAATCTGACGTTCTTGACTAGTTTTGGACATCGTTGCGCCGTCTATTCTTAAAAAAATATGCCCAAACCTCTCGTTTTGAGGTTTTCTCTAATCATCACTTGAATGAGGAACACTGTAATAAGAGGAAACCTAGTTTTCAGATGATATACTCATATATATTTCAGAAATAATAATTATATCAGAGCTCTATTATAGCTAACTCAAAAACACAACATTTGAAACCAGTCAGTATCTATTTCCTCGAATATTTCGGATGAAAGAGCTCACTTCATTTTACCAAAACCCTCGATGTTATAACAAATATTGTTCGGGAATTTTATGAATATATTGGTTGGTTCACCACCGCCATACAAGGCACGTACGTTCATAGTTTCGACCAGTCGACTGTCCTTTGAATAGCAGCCAAAACACTTTAGTTTTTCACTTCATTGGAGAAAGCTGAAGATATGATAACTACATATCATTGATATATAGGTATTCCATACAGGAATTAAATATTCATTATAGCCAAAATCCACTCATTTTATAGCTGTTCGTCACAAAATACAACATCAATGCGAAAAAATATCGTCACTACCAACCTAGAAATAAGCAGACATTGACAATTGGCGTCACAGTTGACATGTATCGTCACTTGCCTCCTCCAAATAAGCTAATACCTTCTGCTTCATTATGTCAGAATCAATCGAGCAATTATCATTCTTGAATCTTGATATTGATTATTCACCATAATAATAGGAGTGGAAAGTGTAAATACTGCAACATGGTAAGGGGGTATACATGACAACACTCTATATAAATTCAACAAGTGTTCTGATTCCTCCCATAATATTGATTCAAATTCACCCGTTATACCCTATACATGAAATGTAATTTTCGACATACACGAGTTTTTCTAGAAAAAGTGACAGTTGCACTTGACTTGATAGATAAAACAGTATGTGAAAATAATCTATTCTTGAGGTTCGCGCCTAAAGTGGGGTATTTTCCCACTCTCTCCATTGCTGTTATCAGAGTTCGTATATCTTTTTTTATTGCCTAATCAGGCCGCTGACTTTAGACACCCTAGTTCTCCATCCATGAATTACCAATTTCCTTTTTTTCACCATGTTGTTAGGGTATATCTCGATAGTATGGAACCAAGTTTGCAGCTTCGAAAGACCTAGGCTGAAAGAGTAGTACTCAAAAATCCTTGACATTTCTCGACTTATTTCAATTTTCAGCTCGAAAGTCCTATAAGGCGGCTTCCTGAAGAAAAATTTAATCAGGTCTTTCGTAAAGCTGGATAATTCGCCTACAATTCGAGTGGAATTTTCATTATTGAAAGTCCATTACAACCCGAGACCTATTATTACTTGCGAAAAATATAGGGTGTTCTTTTTAAAAAAATAAAACTTCGATATGTATCTTTTTTATAGAACACCCTGTATACTTGGAAATAATTTGAAATTGTACATAAATGAATTCTCTATCCAGCCAGCTGAAAATAATGGGCTTATATAAAAAAAAAATTGGAATTTCATAATTCGATAGGATTCACCCAAACTAGCTCACCACCGCAAACCGTTTAAAAAATTATTGAAATCCTCGATTTTTCGGACCTCTGAAAACGAGGCGATGATGTGGCGTCAAAACCCTAATACTGAAACAAGACTATTCCAGACAGAGATGAATGATGCATGATTTCTGACAGAGTAAATTAGCGCGAGATCACAGTTAAAAGAATCAATATATATCTGTTGCCTCAGTCTCCGTCGGGCGTTTGGTATTTTATTTTGAATATGGCGAGGTGAGGTTTCTACGTCATAAGAGGGTCCGTTTCTAGAAGGTACTATTATTTATGTCCAAAAATAAAACATTCCAGTTAATTTTTCGATCGAATTATGTCGTCAATCATTATTTATGTATAAAAGGATCATTATAAACATGGCTTGAGTTAAAAGTTCTACTAAGGTGTACACGCCCATTGTAAAATATTGTATGGTTTTCCACATTGGTATTGGTATATTGGTAGGTTGGATGGTGACAGATGCGCTGCGACCTAGTTAGATCTATTGTGCCCCATCTGCTTCTGCTATATCAAGGATTTCTTGTTCATAGCAGCCCCTCGAGATTCAATTCCTTCAGGAATTTGAGGATTTTGAGGGGGTCTAGATGTGTTATTTCTTTCACAGTCATCTGGTGTGTTCCCAGTATGTTCAATCTTTCGTGATGTACAGCGTCACACTCCATCAGTATGTGATGGGGTGTTTCTGGTTCTTCCTCACAGAATCTGCAGGTGCCGTCCTCCTGTAAGCCTAGCTTCCTTATAGGTGCTCTTTGAGTCTGGAATGCCCCGTTAGAAATCCCGTTATTGCTTTGAGACTTCCTTTGCTGAGATTCGTCAGTGTCTTAGATCTTTCTCGGTTGAAATTTTCAAGAAGATCTTAAGCCTGCCGTACTCCTGGAAGTCTTCTTCATTGTCTGGCTCTCCAGGCTCCTTCCGCCTTCTCAAATTCTCCTTGGAAATAGGAATTTCCAAGGCCGCAGAATGACTCTGGTCCGTTCAGTGGCGTTGAAGCCCCTCATTGTCGTGCCAGAGTGTCTGCTTGTTCATTCCCCTCCACTCCAATATGCCCTGTCACCCAGAAGAGGGTCACTTCATTGTTGCTGCCTAGCTCATTAAATTTGCTTAGGCATTCCCATACCATCTTTGAGTTGATGTAAGGAGAGCTCCACGCTTTGATGGCTGCTTGGATATCGGATCCAATCGCGATGTCCTTCTTCCGGTATTTCCTGTCTAGGTTGAACTGGATGCATCTTCCTATGGCGTGTATTTCCGCTTGAAAAATGCTGGGGAATTGTCCCATGGATTCGAAGTATTTGGTGCGTGGCTCAAAAACTCCTGCTCCAGTTCCCTCGGGAGTTTTAGACCCGTCCGTATACCAAGTAATGGTGTTTTTTTCCAGTGATTCGATGGATTTTATGCTCCATTCGCGCTTGTTGCTCAGCTTCATTCGGAAGTTCCTCTCAAAACTGAACTTCCTGATGATTTGGTCTGGTGGGAGATCGATGAGGTGTGCGATCTCAGTGGGGGGTGAGCCCCTTGCACTGTGCGTTTTCCCTCTTAGTCCGACCTTGACTAACATGAGATGTGCTCCATAGGCAGTTCTCCTCACCACGATGTGTAGAGGTGTGAGATCCAATATGACCTCTAGTGCTGCTGTTGGAGCTGATCTCATTGCTCCTGTTATGCAAAGACATGCCAATCTTTGCACCTTCTCTGATATTTTCCTTGTAGTGGCGAGTTCGGTTCTGCCGTGCCACAGTACTGCTCCGTAGGTGATCATTGGTCTCACTAGCATGGTGTACGTCCATCGCAGTATTGATGGGATACACCCCCACGTGTTGCCTGCAAGGTTCCTGCACACCATCAGTTATGATTTTGCCTTACTGGCGATCTCTTCTACGTGTCTATTCCAGAGAAGCTTTGAGTCTAGGATGAGCCCTAGATACTTCACTTCTTGCTGCCTTTCTAGGTCTGATCCGTCTAGACGGACGACTCGTAAGTGCTGAACCTTCGTTCTTCTAGTGAAAGGTACCAATGTGGTTCTCGTTGAGTTAATTCTCAACCCCACCGGATGGCACCATCTTCTGATAGTCTCTAGCTCTCTCTCTATGAGGTCGCAGAGGGTCCCTTCAAATTTGCCTGTGGCTATGATGACTATGTCGTCTGCATATCCAAAGCTAGTTACTCCGTTCTCAGTAAGAATCCCGAGTAGTTCGTCTACTACTAGAATCCACATCAAGGGTGACAGTACCCCTCCTCGTGGACAGCCCCTGTTCGTACTGATTTAGAAGCTGCTCTCGCCCACTTTCGTTTCAGCTGTTCTTGTGGTCAGCATTTGACACATCCATCTGGATGTGGTTCTGTCCACTTCCTTGTTCATTAGGGTTCTCTTTATTGCTTCATGAGAGGTGTTGTCAAATGCCTCTTCTATGTCTAGAAATGCGCATATGGTGATTTCTTTGTGCTCAAGTGATCTCTGGATGTTCCCGGTGAGCACGAAAAGGGCGGTCTCGGTTGATCTGCCCGCCCTATATGCATGCTGTCCTGGGTGCAAAGGCACCCTCTCCAGTATCTCACATCTGATATAGTTATCTACGATTTTCTCCAGTGTCTTCAGTAAGAAGGATGTGAGACAGATCGGTCTGAATTACTTCGGAAGGGTAGGGTCCTTCTTCCCTACTTTGGGGATGAAAGTCACACGCGCTCTTGTCCAGCTGCTCGGTATGTACCTGGACGCCAGACTGAGTTTGGCTGCCTTGATAATGAACGGCAGTAGTTCCTTATGCCCATTTTGTGAAAGGTCTGGAAATATGCCGTCAATTCCAGGAGACTCGAATGGTTGAAAAGAGTCGATTGCCCACTTCAACCTTACCGGAGTGCAAATTGTTTTTGCAACATCCCAGTTCTCTCGTTTTGCTCTGCCTGGTTCTTCCAGTATTCTTTCGGGATCATATGGTGTACTACCTGGAAAGTGCGTCTCCAGTAAAAGGAGAGCTCGTTGCTCTTCATCTTCTGTATCTGATCTTCTGAGAGACATTGGTCCTTGCTCCCTGCCCCTCGCCGGCCTTGTACAGTCTGGCTGCAGGTGGACTTGAAGTGATTGTCTCAAAAAAGTTCCTGAAGCTATTTCTCTTAGCTTTCCTTAGTTCTTTGTTGTAAATTGTCAGCCTTTTGGTAACCCTGCCAATCTCCGTCCCGTTTGGCCTTGTTGAATAGCCGGCGGACGTCGGATCCTAGATTTGACAGGTGTTCGTTCCACCAAATGGTACCCCTGTGTGATTCATTTTCCCTAATGGGGCAGCTGGATTCGTATGCATCCATGATTGCCCCATTAACTGCTTCTAATGTCTGCTCGAATTCGACGTGACTTTTGCCATTGAACTTGATTTGTTCTGAATTACATTTAAGATTGGTGGTGTATTTTTCTCAGTCTGTGTTTCTAGGATTTCTTATGAAGGTGGTTTCTGTCACAAGCCCTTCTACATTGAACATTATGATTCTGTGGTCAGAGAGGGAGGGTTCGTCTGGGACCTTCCAATTCCTAACCCTTCTACTAATGCTCGGGCTGCCGAGCGTTATGTCTAATACTTCTTGTCTAGCCCTAGTTACAGAGGTGGGTGTTTTCTACATAGAGACCGTGTCGTATACGATGCCCCAACCTGTACATATGTGATACGTCCAGGAAAAAAGTACTCACTTCCTTCCCGTGGAAAAAAGTAATTTATGGGAAGTGACATTTTATAACTTGTCAACAGAGATGAAATTTCGAACTTTTTTCCCGTCATAGCAAAAAATATCATAATATACTGGTTTACCATAGTACATCCTTGAACGATTACCGAAAACCTCTGAAACTATATACAGGTTGAGTCAGTTTTTGGTAGAAGGACTTCAAGAGCTGGAAGGAGGTATATAATTTCAAGATAGAACTCTCATGTCAACATATAAGGATAGGAGCCTTTTTTCGATGTACAGGGCATGTAATATTTTTAAATAATGTTTCGTGTTTTTCGAGTTTTGCTATTGAGTTCAATCAACACATCTTCTGAGAGCTTCTGATCATTCTAGGTCTTCTAGTCAATTGTCGAGTAATGTCAAATAGGCTGTGTTCGAAAAGAGTTACAAGTAAATTATTTTTTTGTATTCACCTCCAAATCCTCACAGCAGATGGAGTAAACAAAAGAATTCGAGAAGGTTACAACAACCCGAGCAACAACCTCTAAAAGTTGAAATCGCCTAATAGCCTCAAATATCGAATTATCCACTTGCATTGCGTGTACCAACTTTCGATTCATCATTACGAAAATTGTAACAGAAAACTTGGAACATATAAAAATTTAAACAATGCGTTCTTCAAGCTGTTGAAGTCCTGCTACAAAAAACTGACATATATATGCCTGTCATTAAGACACCGTTCTAGGTGAATCTTCCACAAAATATTTATACGTTTGTACAATTTCCTGAAAGCTGCGAATTTTCAGAATGGTGCGTTTTTCGGTTCTCCATATATGAATCGTGCTTCTTGAACTGATGACAAACATATATACAACTTTTTTGGAAAATCAATGTGAATTTACGCCGTTCACTCAAACTGTTTGCACTGAAGGCAGATTCAATTTTCTGATAAAGGACTTGAATGAATCCGAAACATGTTTATTCGCCACTGGTCTTTGATGAGATGAATATATTTAGGGATAACTTTGGATTTTCATATACATATAAACAAATTATGATTTGTCAGCACACCCTTTCGTCGACAACTCTTTACCAAAAATCGTTCCTCTATATAAAACGGCGAAGCTATGGAACTGTTTTTCAGATATAGTATTCCTGAGAACTTTCAATCACGAAGTTCTCCGAACATTATAGAAATTTCTTCGTGCGCTCCAAAAGTAATAAAAATATATAATATAATAAATAAAAATAAAAATACCACCCCACTTTGAGTTAGCAAGTTTCTCTTTCGAAACTTACCTAATTTCCTTCGTTCAAGGTATACTATAAGTGAAAAGCGATATTCAGGAAGAATTCTATTGGTTGGATCAAATATGCAAGGACTGAATAATCACTTGATACCTTCCATTTTGAAAAACCTTGAACATATCCCTGCATTCATCTATGATACCCGAATAATCGATGTGAGTATTCTGGAGAATGGAACAATATGATGAGCTATGAAAAAATTGGTAAATTAATTTCTTCAGAAAGTCAAACCCAATTTGACTAACGTACATATGAATATCCCCTCGGTAATTGTTCTATCAAGAATTGATGAATGGTGGGACTACATCGATGACTGTGACCAACATAGTATTGTTTCAACACTAGAAGATATACATGCTGGTTTGCCAATTCTGACAATAGCTTCTTGTAGAGTGGATATTCCAACAAGGGTAGTATGAACCTTTATTGAATAATTAAACCATTTCACACATCAAACGTGTATTGAGGATATATAACACAGATGTAACTCACAAAATCGATACTAAGTTCCTTTGTTACCGATAGTGGAGAACAGTTACAGTTCACTTTCAAGTGAACATAAGAGCATATGAATCTCCTCTTTCTTGAAAAAAACTGTGAGATATATCTGTGATCCACTTGCATATACGAGCCCCGTCCAGCCAGTTGTCCTACATATAAAATCGCTCAACGAGTAACACCAGCGTAAACAATGTTATATCTACGACAAAACATACTATATCGAGAGAAATCTTGAAGAGACATGGGTTCAATGAAACCCCTAGTATCTTGAAAAATAGAAATTGGTCGAAGTACTTATAACGACGTAGATTGAGTTGGCTATGAAAATAATGCTATTTTTGTCGAAAATTACAGTGACAAATGTTCCGATTGTGAATCAGTTGTTTGATAGTTGTTATATGTGCGCTCCAAGCGATAAAAAAAAATGTGCAGAGGAATCACCAATTTCATTTTTTTCTGGTTTAAAACTTCTCATTTTCAATTATTGTAACTATTTTTTTGTACACTACAATGTTTTAACACTAACCAAACCGATTTTTTAAAACGCCTTGACACGTGTTTCGCTAACTATATAGGCATCTTCAGGAGAAAATTGAAACAGTTTCAATCTTCTTCTGAAGATGCTTACATAGTGACCGAAACATGTGTCAGGGTGTTTCAAAAAATCCGTTCGGTTAGTGGTAAAACAGTGTAGTGTATTATCGTGTCAAAGGTTCCAGTCTTCGATATATATTTTTTTGTATGCGATATGTTTTAAAAATGAATACTATCAAGATAAAAGTAGATAATTCCACCTGAAGCTGGACGGAGCTCGTGATCCATCTACAGGGAACATCTCTGAACTACAGATAGTAAACACCCAAATATGAAGATTTAGCACGACGTGCCTCATAAAAATATTGCTGGTTTAAGAGATACAGGATGATTAAGGAGAAGATTTTATTTCAATATATCTTCTCCTTAACCACCCTGTATATCTTAAACCAGCAATATTTTTATGAGGCACGTCGTGCTAAATCTTCATATTTGGGTGTTTACTATTTGTAGTTCAGGTATTTTTAATTCTCAATTCAATAAATATAATAAAATTATTGAGATATTATAATTGGAACATAAATCTCTCCGAAAGCGAATAACACAAAAACAGTTGAAGTTAGACAATTTGATAAATGATACATTTTTTATGTGAAATTGAACGAGCTTCCAGATTTTTTACTTATTTTGATCATCAATGCATTGACATAGAAGATATGATGTAAATTAGAGTTTGATTGTCTTTATTACCCCAAGAAACATTATTGTTTATAATAGGGATATATACAACAAAACATACATATATTATAACATAATGAATCGAAACAATAATAATTGCACAACTTTCGAAAAAAAATATTTCGCATTTACATATTGAGAACGGGAGCAGATTCGGTCCCGAAACGTCCAAAGATAAGTAAAAATTCGATAATTTTTCAATATATCTATATTTCTTTTCTTCGAACATGTTTTCAAACAAATTGTCACTGACAAGCTACTGGATTTTCTTTGACGCAGTGACATTTTGGAGCAACTCATCTGATTTGTCCCACTACAAATATATTTAAATAATACGAATATTTTTCGTGGAGAAAATCCCAAAGAATCAAGTAAAATGCACAATTTTTTTCTTCATAAAAAAAATAATAATAACATATAACATGGGAATATTATAATGCATTACAAGTAATCAAATTGTGAATGATTAGTAGATATGGAATCAAAGTCTACTGAGCAGATATTTCTTTAATTTGATTTTGAATTTTTCTGCTTCTTCCATATTTTTCAACTCATTAGGTAAGGAGTTATAAAATCATTCCATCATGGAATATTGATTGTTTACCAAAATTTGACTTATAATTATTCTCTATCAATAAAATGAATTGCCTTGCTTCATGGGCGTGAATCGTATTAACTTCATTGAAATTCAAATTTGATATTTTCAATTCCTTCCTGACAAAATGAATAAAACAACAAATTTTGAGTTTATATGATGAAACCAGATTCAGCAAGTATTTAAGTTCGTATAGATTCACAGTTGATTCTAAAAAAGGTAAATTGGAAATGCACTTTATTGTTTTATTTTGAAATTTCATGAGTGGCATCAAACGTGAAATATTTGTTCTTTCCCAAATAGATATTAGATATTGTAAACTTGAATAAAAAAGATAGAAATTAATACTCTGTAGGTATCTTACAGGAATGAAATTTCGAATTTTATATATTGAAGTAACAGAGTGCCCCTAGCGCCCTCTATGAGCAATCACAAAATAAATTGCATAATCATATTCCTCATATCAGAAAACCTAGAAATACAATGCTGTTGAAACTAACTAAGTTATGTGAAATTTTGGAATAAAATATCCCCCTCTGCAAGACCCTCCTAAACCAGCAACATTCTCATCAGGCATATTGGGCTGATAGTCCAGTCATTATAGACTTTGACCCGTGAATAATTTTTTATTGTTTTTTTTTCATAGGTGTCTCGGGGGAGTCACTGGGAGTGTAAATTCAAAATGGCGACCAAATCAAGCTTTTGCGTATGTTCGAAAACTGTTTTTTTTTGTTAAAAACCGGTTTTTCTTGGATAACTCGGCCATTTTTGATTCTACAGAAAAAGTTTGGAGACAAAAATTGTAGTAAATTTGGTTCTCTACAAGTTTATTTTCAACTTTACGGCATAAATGAAGAGGACTAAACTTGTGGAGAATCAAATTCTAAATAATTTTGGTTACCACGTTTCTGTTTCAAAAATCGATATTTTGGGAATTAAACCTGAAAAAAGCGACAAATTCAAAAGATCATCATAATCTCCAATGCTTCGCGTTTTACGGCATAAATGAAGAGGTTATTCCGCGCAGGTAGCTTGTCTGTCATGTCGGTGTGAAAATATGGTTCCGGAACTATTTTTTTTTTTGGGTTTCTTAGCTGATGGTCCTGCCAAATCCATATCCTCTCTTTCTTCTTCGGTCAATTGGTAATGTCCAGTTTCACGTTCGCTAAGGTTCAGTGTTAATGGTGCGGGATCGTCGATGTCGTTGTTATCATCACTGTCTTCGTCATCGACGGCTCGCAATTGTGTGACGTTATCGCAAGTCTGCCCAGCGCAGTTGTGGCATAAGACAGAACATTTCAGTCCTGCCTTACGACACCCACACATTCCTCCGCAATTTTTCGTGCATTTGCACGAAATTGTCTTCAGCAGCGCTTCCGGGGCGGGTGCAGCGGTTGTTGTTAGTGGTTCCAAACCCCTCGCACCTCTCGTCCAACCCCACTTGGTGGCGTCCAGCTCATACCCAAGCCACATTTGCACCTGCAGATATGACCTGTATATGTGCTGCTCTGCTGCTTCTGTTGTGGGTGGAAGAGTTGCGAGGTTGAACTTAGCTTTGCTCACTGATTTGGTGAAGCACTTGAATCGAAGTTCGTTGAGTGATCGTACGTCTTCGCCACCTCCGTACACAGCAATCAGAAGCCGTTCTCCAGCTTTAGCCAAGACCTGCTCGTCGACGTCCTGCTTCTTGAAGAGCTCCAAACTGGTACCTATTTTTGGAGCTTTCTGAAGCGCGTTTACAAACTTTGCTTTACCGATATTAAAAAGCGACGACGAAGTGTCGCAGCCACTGATCGCATGTAGGAGCAGGATGTGCGTTGCAACTGATTCTTCGTACTTGAAGCTGGTCGGCGAGTACAAATGTTCTGGAGTCCGCCCTCTTCTCGGTTTTAAAAAAAAAACGTTCTTCAAGTTGCGGCCCAATCCAAAAAGAGGAGATATTGCGAATATTTCTGAATGTTTACATATTTTCTGGTTAAATTCCGAAAATATCGATTTTCGGAAAAACAAGTAAAGACCAAATTTGTCCAAAATTTGATTCCCTACAAGTTTGTTTCTTCCCATTTATGGTGTGAAGTTGAGAATAAACGAGATAATGATGATATTTCGAATGAGTCGTTTTTTTTTAGGTTTAATTCCGAAAATATCGATTTTCGGAAGAACAGGTGGGGACAAAATTTATCCAAAATTTGATGCTCTACAAGTTTGTTTTTGTTCATTTATGCCGTGAAGTTGAAAATAAACGAGATAATGGAAATATTTCGAATTTGTCGCTTTTTTCAGGTTTAATTTACAAAATATCGATCCTATCAGAAAAATTGTGAGGACCAAACTTGTAGAGAACCAAATTTACTACAATTTTTGTCCTCAAACTTTTTCTGTAGAATCAAAAATGGCCGAGTTATTCAAGAAAAACCGTTTTTTAACATACGCAAAAGCTTGATTTGGTCGCCATTTTGAATTTACACTCACAGTGACCCCCCCGAGACACCTATGAAAAAAAAAAACACTAAAAAATTATTCACGGGTAAGGTCCGTTATTTGGATATAATGACTGGACTATGAATTTTATCATTTTTGTGTTTACTATCTGTAGTTCAGAGATTTCCCATTCTCAATTAATCACACTGTACACTACATATACTAATATTATAAAGAGGAAATATTTGATTGTTTGTTTGTATTGCATAGGACCGAAACTACTAAACCATTTTGAAAAATTATTTCACCGTTAGAAGCCGACATTATCCATGATGATCATAGGCTTCTTTTCACAGCGGAAAAATGCCTCATTTTGACGGAAAAAATTTCAAAATGCATAGGGGGCAGAATAGATTCACAAAATATATAAATTTATAATATACAGGGTTTCCTTCCGCGAAATGCATCGATCAATATATAGAAAACCATAGGTGGACCGAATTTGAAAATTGGGGAGTTCACTATTGTTGATAGTACACAGGGTGATTCATTGGGAAATGCGCATAGAGTAAGGGTAGACGGAGGACACCAAATAATTTGTCCTAAATACGGACCTGTCCTCTCGTTTTCCAAGAAGGTTGGGGTCCGAAAATTGGGAGAGTAAAAAAAAGATGATGATTTCATGGTTTGAGAATGGAAAAGTACCATTCGGGGACGACAATTGATTTTTTTTTTTCAATTTTGTGCCACCTCATTATCGAAACATCTAGATTTGACTCAAGTTGATAGGTATATGCGGAAACACGAAATACATTCAGCCTGACTCATTTTTGAAAGTCCAAAATATTGATATACAGGGTGTTGTTTCGACTCGAAACCTACTTATTAATTTTTTCAAGGTCGGACCTGGAATGAGACTCAATCTTATTATGTCAATCGTCACATCAGAGGACAAAGGACATGTCCACCAAATATCACAAGAATGTATAGGGTGGTTCATAGTAGAGTGCCAAACGAACCGTAAGTCGCTTAGATCAAAAGTTGGTGGGAAATCGGAGGTAAAAAGCTGTGACATGGCTAGAATTGTTACCTACCATCTCCAGATCATGGATCCACTTGTCGTCAAAAAATCGTCCTGTGCGTTTGGGGGGTAGGGGGTAATTTATAAAAAAATATGGATTTTTTTTTATTCATGGAAAATATTGATGGGTTCCAGAACTTCCACCCTGTCGAATCTTGATTCCGCGTGACAAGTAGAACAAATTATAGAAAATTTTGAAATTCACCAATTACATTACGATATATGAGAAAATCATATTTCAAACGCCGATAACTCAAAACTTGTAAATTCTCGTTAAATTGTTTTTCATATACCTCGCATTATCTCAGTGACAATAACGTTTATCAAAAAAATACTTAAAATAATGTCGATGCGCCTATGTTTCAAGATGCGAATGGTTCTTCGATTTTGAGAATCAAAGCATAAATAAGGAAGATATTGGGAAAATCATAATCCAATGCAGGTAGTACGAAGGACGGCGACTCGCCGCTTTTATACCACGATTCTCCCCGCAACGCCCGCAGCCGTCCTAGTACGATCACCGTAAATATGAAATACTGAGTGTTACAGTACAGTACGATCTTGGAATTCACGGGAGAAATGGAATTGATCGCTATTTTCCAAGTTAACAGAAATTTATTTTAACTTGCTGTTTGATTGGAAGTGCCCTCCATTTATTTTATGAATGATTCTATCTCGAAAGTACATTTATTATCCATCAGAGTAAAATGTCAACCATCTCATTTATTAACAAATTGACAAATATTGAAACAAAACATGATGCATATAATATTGAAATAAAAATAAGATATCCATGTGGAAACTTGAAAAAAACATTATTTGATACCTATCGAATTGCGAAGTTACAAATACACGTAAATACGATACAGTGTCCACAAGAACACAAAGCTACGATTATTTTTTGCCATCATGTCTCTTGATGAATCATTATTCCCAAACCAACGTGTTTCGGTGTGAGTTTATTGAATTTCGAATTAGCGAGTATTATATACCTTGACATCAGATACTGTGATACTGAACACCTTTGAATCAACTGAATCAACTTTATCGTGTATAAGGCAACTAATTTAAAAAAAGGTTTTTTGGTATCATATCCTTGTACGCCTTGACATCCATCCATCCATTTTTGAGTTGTTCATAATCTGGAATATCTCTCATATCTTGATAAATATCTCAAAAAAATTTCGATTTGTGTATCTGGGTCATATCTGATGCATGTACAAAGTCAGGGGAGTTATCTTCTGTAATTTCACTTTGTTCTTTATATGTGTATGAATCAGATGAGTTTTTGTCACTTTTGGAATCACATATTACGACTCATTAAAACGTTTTGATTCATTTGATAATGTCTATTTCCTTGTCGTAGTGCTTTCTGATTTCTTCGATGAATTCATTTTACATGATTTTTCTAGATTTTCTCTCCTCGTTCCTCTGGACGTTTCGGGAACGAATCTGCTCCCGTTCCCAACATAAAAATGCAAAACATTTTTCTTCGGAAGTTGCATATTTTCATGTTGAGAACGGGAGCAGATTCGTTTCCGAACCGTCCAAAGAAACGAGGAGAGAAAATCCCAAAAAATATTTTTTTGATAAACGTTGTAGTTACTGAGATAATGCGAGGTATATGAAAAACAATTTAACGAGAATTTACAAGTTTTGAGTTATAGGCGTTTGAAATATGATTCTCTCATATATCGTAATGTAATTAGTAAATTTCAAAGTTTTCTATAATTTGTTCTACTTGTCACACGAAATCAAGATTCAACAGGGTCGAAGTTCTGAAACCCATAAATATTTTCCACGAATAAAAAAAAAAATCCATATTTTTTTATAAATTACCCCCTACCCCCCAAACGCACAGGACGATTTTTTGACGACAAGTGGATCCATGATCTGGAGATGGTAGGTAACAATTCTAACCATGTCACAGCTTTTTACCTCCGATTTCCCACGGGGTGAACGATAGGATTCGATTGGCACTATACTATCATAAGTTATGATTAATTGAAAAAAATAAAAAATCTATAGATCACCTTCGGAGAATGATAGACCCATGAAAAATATATTATTCAGAAGCACCTCGGTGTCCTTCGTCTTCCCTTACTCGCTATGCGCATTTCCCAATGAATCACCCTGTATAGTTGATAGCAAGCGCAATTTTCAACTTAAAATTTGAAATATTTCGAAAACGGTTAGACTTGGATATAGGACATTATACATGAAACATGTTCAGAATCATGCGTGAAATCTAAAACCTTGATAATATACAGGATGTCCTATTCAGAATAACGAAGTTGGGGTCCATTTCCGGTACAACCGAAAGTGCCACAATCTTGGAAATATTTTTGCCGGATAGTAGTTATCAACAACAGTAAACTCCCAAATTATCAGATTCAGCGCACCTATGGTTTTCTATATCTTGATCGATGCAGTTCCCGGAGCGACACCCTGTATAGATAGATATGAAGATATAAATTAATCCAGGTACAGTAACCTTCAAAATGACATAAATAATAATGAAAACAAACACAAATCAAAAACAATGTTTATTTAGGTGTACAAAATATTCTATAGAATAGAAAAAATCAAATATCACAAAAAACCAATGCAAATTTGGATTCAAAGCACAAATGACATTTTTTCCATCATATCAACAATTCTTTACTGAAAATCAAGTTAAATCGAAAAGGTCGATATACAGGGTGTTTCACAGGTAAAGGGAAATATTTCAATGGTAGATAGGGGTCACCAAGGTGGTTCTGAAAATACCATATTTGATAGGTCTTAGAATTTTCATAGCGGAGATATAGGGCGATTTATCGATTTCGAATAATTATTCATTCGTCTATAAGTATTGAACTACCCAGTATATTTTTCTAAAATTTGATATGGAGCTTAAACTTGGGACGTTGAATTCATTCACCTATCGGGCGAAGAGAAAATCCAGGTTCGGCTTCAGGAAAAATTCACATTTATTCGAAATATTAAAATAACACACTGTATGTTATAATTGACAGAGTTCATCAAAGGAATCGTAAAGAGGAGGAAAAACTGAACTGGATTTGATGCTTTTTGTTTTCCCGCCACCAATTCTCATCGTAACAATCATAAACAGAATGCTGCAAGTATGTCAATTTGAACAGTTTAAAATTATGAAACCTGTGTCAATTATGATTATTCGATATATTTTAGTCAAAAAATCGCTCGAAAGAACTTTACTAAGTCTCACAGTTTTTATAACGGAGATACAGGGTGAATTATCGGTTTTGAATAATTATTCACTCGTCCATGATGAGTATAAAACTACCCAGTAACATTTTCTCAAATATGGTATGTAGCTATTACTTGGGACGATGGATTCATTAACCTATCAGGCGGAATTATAATTCAATAATTCACCCTGTATCTCTGTTATAAAGACTATGAGACTTCTCCTGAAGCTGAACCTGTATTTCCATTCTGCCTGATAGGTCAATGAATCCATCGTCCCAAGTAAGCTCAATACCAAATTTGAGAAAATATTACTGCGATGGGTAGTTTAATACTCAATGGACGAGTGATAATTCACCCTGTATCTCTGTTATAAAGACTGTGAGACTGAGTAAGTCCTTTCGAACGATCATTCAACAAGAATATATCAAATAATCATAATTGAAAGTGGTTTCATAATTTTAATACTCTTGAAATTGACATACTTTTAGCTTCTTGTTTATGATTGTTACGATGAGAATTGGTGGCGGGAAAACAAAAAGCATCAAATCCAAATCAGTTTTTCCTCCTCCTCACGATTCCTTTGATGAACTTTGTGAATTATTACATACAGTGTGTTATTTTAATATTTCGAATAAATGTAAATTTTTCCTGAAGCCAAACCTGGATTTTCACTTCGCCCGATAGGTGAATGTATTCAACGTCCCAAGTTTAAGCTCCATACCAAATTTTAGAAAAATATACTGAGTTGTTCAATACTTATAGACGAATGAATAATTATTCGAAATCGATAAATCGCCCTGTATCTCCGTTATGAAAACTCTAAGAACTATCAAATATGGTATTTTCAGAACCACCTTGGTGACTCCTATCTACCATTGAAATATTTCCCTTTACTTGTGAAACACCCTGTATAAAGGTATGGATAGGGCATAGTCAATAGAAACTGAAGATAATGTGGATTCGCCAGATTATTTTTTACATTCGCCACTTGTTACTAGATCATGAAGGGTGGAACATAGAGAAGATATTTCAACGGTCACTACGATTAACCCTGGAAAATACTTTCGAATACTATGATCAAAACAAGTCCATCTGAAAGATGCCAGATATCAGACATTTCTCAGAATCACCATCCAATTCATCGATCTTATGTCAGTCATGTCCTACTGTTAATTAATTCACATATGATTTCTCGATTCAGAAGTAGTATCTCGATTTGCAGATGATATATCGGTGATATACCAACAGGGTAAAATGAATGTGAAATCAACAAGATTATTATGTTAACAATGAAATGAACCCTGTATATTTTTATGAAAAACATTCAGTAGCCTTCTTCAAATTACCTACATGCAGAAAAAACATGAGTCAGTCAATTGACAAATTTCTAAATTGATATTTCAGATGAAAATACGGAAAAACTTGATATTGCTACTGTTGCCATAGTGCCTAAATTTCTGTGTTATTTTCAGCTACACAATTTTTTCTACTACAACAATACGTTGATGATAAAAATAGAAAATCCAAATGACAAAGAGAGAGAAAATTTTCTTGCACCGTTGTTTTTTGACGAAACATGTCTGAGTCTACTCAGCATCTATCAAGAGACCAGCCAGAATGGAAATCATTTCATAAAGTGTATATCATCGATACCATCTCAAACCCATATCACGAAACAATATTTCAGGTGAATCGTCAGAATATCAAACTGGCAGAAAGAGGAAGAAGAGAGGTAAAAAGGTGGACTATCTTGGAATCGGAGATAATCCGGATTCCATAGGGATTCCAGATCCCCACCACGGGAAAAGGAAATTGGAAGAATCCAATTATGACTTAGTGAAAAAAATCAAGTTATGTGAGAGCAAGTTCGGAGATTATAGGTCATGCAGTTCTACCAGCCTATTTGATCCTCATAGAAAAATAAAACGTAAGGCAATAATGTATTTTTTCTACTCACATGACTAAAATGGCATTTAGCGTACGGATATGTACCACGCTAAATGATCTATTAATCACGAATTGACGATCTGTGATTCATTCCAAATATTAAACACGTTACCATTGCAACACGATTTCTTAAACACATTACCATGTCAACACAGTTCATTAAACACAGCTTCAGTAATTTGAAACATGTCTGGCCTGTCAATTGATTTGAGTGTTAACTGTTATTTTCAAATTTTGTACCGAAATTATTCAAACAGTATTCGTTTGTATCAGAATTCTTCATTAAAAATATATAAAAAATCTAGACGAAAGTGAAATTGAAGAGAATGTTCTGGTACTTGCATATCTCCAAGAAGTGTGAAAATGAAGCATCCATCTTTGAGAACAATCTATCTATTCTGTGCTTAGCATGACAATAAACGTGAAACAGAGGTTAGTAAGCAATGGACTGGACACATCTACAATTAATATCACTTATACGTGTCTCGCTGGTCGCATGCAGTTGTATGTATTATGTTCTCAATTCTCATTACTTTCGAATTATTTTCTAGGTTAGCAGGAATAGCAGGTATGTTAATGTAATTTTCGGAGTTCGTAGAAGAAGCATAGTATGTAACGCGTTTATAAACTCTTCTAGACACTCGTTTATTAAAACACTCGCTCTGCTCCGCTCGTGCTTAAAATACTCGTTACTAAAAGGACGTTTATAACACTTGTTACATAATATACTATTTTATGTCGTTTCTGTGGAAATCAACATTCAAATTGAACATTATAGCCTTTATGACAAAAGAGGAACTTCATAATTTTTCCAAATATGGTTCTCATCAACAATGATAAACACAATGCTGTGTGTATAAGGCACTTCGAAACAACGTGATCGTCTAATGACATCCCGGCAAATATATCATCTCATTCATGAATGTATGTTGAGATGAAATGTTCATTGAATACTTTCCGTGATAGTTATACAGGGTGGCATCAAAATAAGTGCAAATATTCCGAACGCTGAGGAAGCGCGACGTGTACTATCGAATGGCACTAATAAAACAAATTTAAGGATCGAAATGAAATTTGAAGTAAGACCCCTTTTTCCACCGGAAGTTCTACACTGTAGCAAATGTGACGTCACATCTGTCCAAATTTTCATGTGGTAGGCACAGTCACGTTGAGTTCAATCATTTAAAATGTTTGGCGTTCTTGATTTTTTTCTCGTATTTTGTTCAATTTTTGGGATGAAATTCCTCGTTAATCAGGAGAATGAGAAGAAAATCTGATATCATGGGAAAATTCCTAAGACTGTGTCATATTATTGTGCTGAATATTTGTACTTGTTTCAGAAACACCTTGTATATATACGAAGGTAGTGAAAATTATCAGTATCACCCAGGGACCAAGATCATATACCAAAGCTTCAGCCCGTGATAATGATATTTTTTACTACCAAGGTGTTTTTAGTTTTCTCACACTACTAGCAATATATTTCATTATAGTTTTATGAAACTGAAATATGAGCCTATTGTCAATATGAAAGCACTTTCTTTAATTTTTGATTAGAATCTAGTAGTCATCACAATGACAGCATGCGACAGGTCGTTGATGATCACTACCTACTGGATTCGAGTGCCATTCCTACGAAACACGCATCTGAACAGTGAATTCGGGTCTACAGACAGAAGTGGCCATGTCTTTGTTGATCAGTTGTTCATAATATTACTATTACTACCTTGGTTGGTATTCAGAACTTCGGAAATTCTAGACAGGAATCGTCTTCCTAACATGTCAAAGACATCGGTATTTTTTGTGCATTGTACATGAGCACAATTCCAGCATGCCATCTTGAATTATTAATGAATAGCCAAAAAAACACGATTGGTATGCCTAAATTATTGTGAGAAACTATTCAATCCTAAGAAGGGTTGGGTTGTGTTTCAATGTTTTACCACCAGGGTCGTTCATCTGACAGAACTTGCACGCAACCCATTGGTACTATGTTTACACTATACACTCTATTACACTGATATTTTCGAACAGCACGCTTTGACACAATTCTCACGCACTGTGTTTAACGAACATATTTGAGTATGGAAGTGTATGTACTGTGAGGGTTCACGAACAGACCTGAAGTAAAATATTTCGAATTGTGTATTCAAAATTGGACAGAACCGAGACATGCAGAATATAGGTAAAGATATACAGGGTGATTCACATAAGAACCGACATAGAGCTGGAGCATGTAGGGGGTCTCAGAATATGGTAATTTCACGCAACTTACCTCTATACCAAGTTGCTTCCCTAAGGAGTTATAGGCTTTAAAAGTGAAGTTATAAATTTTGAAAAAAAGCAATATCTCCGTTATTCTTGAACTTGAAGCAACCAAATTTGATACACTTTGTGGATGTATTTAGGGCGTTACTCGACAGTAACTAGAGTTCAATTGAAATTTGTAAAGGGGGTATACCAGGTGGAGCACCATTAATATTCAACAGAATTTAGTTAACACTTGATGCATTTTGAAAATCTTTGCTTTGTTTGGTCGGAAAATCAATTCTAAAACTTTTCTTACCCTAGTAATTTTTCGAAAAACCTCATCATTCTCATCAAAAACTCGAATAACTGAAAACGCGCGCTCTGGGTGTGTTATTTAAAATCGGAAATTCAAAAGTTAGCTATGAAAATAAACGTCAAACAAGAAAGTAGGTCATTTAATCTGATCAGTAGAAATTGGCTGGCAAATTATTATTTAGATACGTAACAAAATACGTAAAGTAAGTACAGATACTGAAATGGGAAAAACTGTGATTAACAACTTACCGAAATAAACACAAAAAACTCTTCGAAAATTAAAATCCCCCCTATCTAATAATGGTTGATTATTCCTAATAGATGTGCATTCATGAATAATGCGAATCCATAATAATTCTTCTTGAGACGCAATGGGCGAAGAATATACACAAATTCTTTCAACGTTCCCCACAGAAAGAAGTCACATTTGTTCAGGTCAGATGATCTTGGGGGCCAACGTTGTGGTCAATTATTTCCTCTTCCTATCCATCTATTAGGATAGTGGTGTTTTCAAAAATTTCTTACGTTCATACTAAAATGAGGCGGTGCTCCATCATGCATAAACCAATGTTGCAACCTTACTTGTAAAGGTAACTCGTTGAGTAGATACAGGAAGGTGTTCTGTAGAAATTCTGAATGATTTTCACCATTCAGCCGATTCGGTATAACAACAGGACCAATTAAATATCGATCAATAATTCCCATCCAAACATTCATTGTGATCGCGTTGGAAATGCCGAGGAGTTATTGCATTTTGGTTCACGTCAGAATACTCATGATAGTTATGGAGATTTGTGATACCTCTGCAAGTGAAAGTAGCCTCATCCGTGAAAAGAATTTTCTTTTGAAAGTTATTATCTTGGTGTAGAATAAACTGACAAAAATTGACACGTTGAACCAAATCTCCGGGTAAAAGTTCTTGGACTTTTTGTACATGATAAGGGTGTAGTAGATTGAGACGGATAACTCGATGCACAGAACTCTGCGATATACCAATTTGTCGAGATAAATTCCTAGTACTAATATGTGGATCATCTTCAATAGCATTTGAAATGGCTACTTCAACTTGCGGTCTGAGTGCGACAGCACGTTCTCGAGTATTATTAAAAAACTTGCCCGTTTCTCTAGCTCATCTTTAAACATTAAAAAATGTTCCTCTATGGTCAAGAAATCTACGATATTCTTCTACTCTTCTTCTACAGTTCCCTTCACAAAATCCTAGCAATAACAGCATGTCAACTTACTCGTTAAAAGAAAACCCGTTATTTTGAAAACACTCACAACAATTACTTAATTGGACAACTTACTTGCTCCATTGTCAAGTTTGACGTTTATTTTCATACCCAACTTTTGAATTTTCGATGATTTTAAATAGCACACCTAGAGCGCGCGTTTTCAGTTATTCGAGTTTTTGATGAAAATGATGAGGTTTTTCGAAAATCTACTTGAGTAAGAAAAGTTTTAGAATTGAATTGCTCATACAAAACAAAGCAAAGATTTTCAAAATCCATCAAGTGTTAACAAAATTCTGTTGAATATTAATGGTGCGCCACCCGGTATACCCCCTTTACAAATTTCAATTGAATTCTAGTTACTGTCAAGTAACGCCCTAAATACATACACAAAGTGTACCAACTTTGGTAGCTTTAAGTTCAAGAATAACGGAGCTATTGATTTTTTTCAAAATTTATAACTTCACTTTCAAAGCCTATAACTCCCTAGGAAAGCAACTTGGTATAAAGGGTAAGTTGCGTTAAATTGACATATTTTGGGACCCTCTACATGCCCCTGCTCTATGTCGGTTCTTATGTGAATCACCCTGTATTTTCAACTACTACCTGCAAGAGATTGAACAATAATATCGTAGTGAAATGTCTATCTGAGAGTCTATCCGTGTAGAATCACACTCTAGGATATTCGCAAATAATTATTGTTCCAGAGAATTGCTACGGAAAATGAACTATAATTCCTATGATTCCTTCCGTGTGGTCCATATACTTCTTTGTTGATGCAATTAATGTGAACATGTATTGAATGTTTCAGAAGAAAAAGGATACAATGGAGAAATAATGAGATCAACATCGCTAGAATCCTTCAAGAAGAAACAATACTTCACCAGAGTTTTATCGGACCTGTTGAATCAACGCAGCATCACCCTTTGTAGAAAATCATGCACCAGTTCCAATTCGCTAGATAGCCTACTCTGTGACAAACTCATCAAAATTGAGCCGAAAGATGATTATTCGGTTTCATCAGTTGATTTGATCCATTCCCAGAGCGTGTTTGGTAATTATCCTTGATTTGAACTTTATTGAATGGCAGCACACTCATACAGAACGAAATAGTACATTTCGTAATATCTATATGCAGGGTGTTGGCCTTTCTTCAACAGTATGTAGAACTCATCAAATTGAACCATTTCACTAAGAAAAGTCGACTACATGGCGTAAATGCGAAATTAAGAAGGTAGAAACGATCATTATCCCACAAAACTGTCACTTTGTATAAGGTCATCGCCGTGTTCTTCGAAAACGACCAGCCCAAATTAGACATACATTTACACTAAACTTCCCTGTTGATCTAACGTTAGCTGCACCCTCTTGAATTCTCTACACGCAGCCAAGAAATATGTTGCATACTTTTTCGCTATGTACAGCACGATAGTCAAGAAGTCTAACTAAACTTCAGTGTGACAGAGTTGCGAAAAATGCACCTTTTTTTTCTGCATTTGCTCAGCAATGGCGCAGATTTTAAGCGTGTTATATATGGCATCTCTATTGAAGAAATCATGACAACCAAATGCGTATCGAAATAGCTTCTTTTATCTCTTGGAGCGCAGAAAAGGAAATTCCTGTTAAAACATAATTCAATTCAATTTCTCCTTTCGAAGTTGTTGATGGTAACTAATAGTATATTACACACGGTTTATAACAAACAATGCGTGCGACCAGATTATAGTGTCTTCTGAAACTTGTATAATAATATACTATAATTAGATTTTGTCTCATGGTGAGGCATAATGGCAACCACATCTGGGCGATTATAAAAATGAATTGTGACAACTTTCAGAATTTGGCCGAGGCAAAGTGAATTTCATCGGTGCGTTTTTTACCTTTGTTATTTTTCAACTTCTATGCAGGCGATTTGTCGTGAATTGATTCGATGAGATGATTTATATAATGTACAACTTGCTCGATAAAATGTCTAACCTTCAGAAACTACGGAGACATGCGTTATTTTTTCCTGAGCGATTTCAATTAAAAGAGATATAATATAGCAGGATTTCCATTATAAAAGATACAATAAGGCCGTGTGGCGGTGCGATTGATTGATGAACATGGCGATATGTTTGCCAAGTTGAGGGTCTTTGATCGTATCTCAATCGTTTGGATGATCACACAAATTATTTCTTCCTTCATAATCCTAAAGAGTATTGTAATGTCTTTAGATAGTCTAGATTTTTTTGCAAACAGGTTGCAAACTACATCTCTTTGTCCATCAGAATATTCTTCTCTGAAAATATACGGTGATCCAAAAAGTCGCTTGAAAATCAGTTTTCTGAATATCACGAAATCCGGTTGTATCTTATCAGTTCCATCTTCGTTCAGTAATATCTCATTTGGCTCGAGTTTTATTTTAAGAAAAAAGTACTATTTTCATTGCGCAGCAGACTTTGAGAATCTAACCATCTCGGAACAAAATAAGAATACCATTTCTGTGTGGAAAAAAGGATATCTTCAAATTACCTACCTGGTCATATTGTCGAGAATTGCATTAACAAAGAAATCGGGGAAAAACTTCCTCTAGCCCTACCCATTTTCCATGCCCCTCGCCTGAAAGTAGGAAAATGCTGAACATTTCCAAATTGGACAAAAAAAGTTAGCTAAATCTACCAAATTTGGTCATTTTATCACGGAGGATTTCGGAAATTTCTACAAAAAAACAGGGAGCCATTTCTGGACTCATTTTCACCTGAACTTTGTTAACTATTCTTGTTCCTAGGATCTTTGGTTGAAATATTCCTATGTAATGTCGAGACATTTTGCATTTGTAGCCGAATCGGTTGCAGGAAACGAACTCAAAATCGAGTTGTTCGATTTCGAAGAGTTCTTTCATCAGCACACTGTGCTTGTATCTATTTTCGCTCATCGAATGATCCATCTCTTGCCGATTGACGATAACGAATTATATAATCATGGTGAATGTAATACAAGGTGGGCCAAAAACAGTCATCCGATGTTATTTGGCTCTCATTTTTTTTCAAATGAAAAACTTCGATTCTGTTTTTTGATTATGTTTATTTGAACCCTTAGAATTTTATTGGTCAAGTCGAGAAGATGATATCGGCCAAATGGGTGCCGCCACAACTGATTGCTATACGTGCTCGTTTTATGGCATTTTTTATCACTTCGGCGAGATCTTCGGGCGACAGATTCTGGCACTCGTGTCGAATGTTATCCTTGAGGGCTTCCAGGGTCTCAGGCTTGTTCACGTAAACACAAGACTCCAAAAAATCCCACAAAAAAAGTCTGAAAATAACATGGCGTTGGTGAATCTCGCCAAGTTTAGTCTGATGGTGCCGTATCAAAATTACAGGCATCGATGTGATGAGTGTGACCAATGAAGATAGGGAATACATTCAGCCTCATCAAGGTTGGAAAAACTGATGCTGATGATAAGTTCTACCTACCTTGAGCCGCACTAGGAATCACGCCATCTAACATTCAATATGTGCACTTCACGTTGTCGTCTGTAATTCAATTGTTTATGATTATCAAGAACCAGTCTGACGAAACAAATGTGGAATATCTCCAAAAGTGCAGTCGGTCATATCATTCGTGCATGATTTGATGGAAACGACGTGATCTGCAAAACCGAATTATTTAGATATTCTAAGCTCAGCGTACTGAACGTCTTCTTCGTCCTCTCCCTTTCGTCACCGGTCTTCCTTGGCGAGTCGAAAGTATATGTAGCTATAGCATTCAGTAAGATGTGGGAGATCGCTCTGATTCAGATAGTTTCTGAAGAATTGAGATGAATAATTAGAGTGAATTTGTATATATGTAGCTATAGCATATAGAAAAATGTGGAAAATCTCTCGGATTCAGATAGTATCTGAAAAATCAAGTTGACTATATCGTTACAGCAAAAATTAGTGTGTTATGGGACCAAAATAGTGTCAACATTTCGAAATGATACCTTTCAGGGTTATCTAATAATCCGAAAGGACGTGTTGAATGAACAATCCGACACCGACCCTAAATTTTGTAGTCGGATTTGGTTGTTTTGATTTGATGGAATTGAGAAAAAATTCTATCGATAACTGGTTTTAAATGTGATGAAAAACATTGATATTGCCCTAGCGACGCCACTAGTATTCATATTAGCTGAAAATATCATTCAAGTGTTTGATTACAGATATACTCAGTTTGTCACCAGATCCGAAATCTCTTATTTCTGTTTAGTGTTTTTTTAGCGAATGAAGGAATATACATTTTTCATTCAAATTGAACGCTCTGTATCTCTATGAGCCTCAACGACCAATGTTTGTAGGAACTTGTCATCTCATTATTTCAGGTGATATCTGAATTCTAGAGACTCTGTAAATTTTTTTGGGCACCTGGTATATTGAACATTTCAATAAGGAGAAAAACGCATGATGAATAAATGTAGTTCAACAAATAATTTTTTTCGTTTCACTCAAGGAAGGTGGATCATTTATTTATTTGCAAAGTTTGGAAATATCTGATATAAATAATCCATATTTATTATTATGAGTTCCAGATGTCCACTGGAAGAGGATATATACCTTATGGAAACATGCATCGTTGCTAGCATCTAGAAACATGTCTGTCGCTCAATTAGAGCTTTTGTACGACGTGATATCGACTTGTCTCAGTATCAACAGAAACTCCTTCGAAGCAGTTCTCTTGGTAAGCAACAAATACAATGATATTTCGGAGACTGAAACCATTGGCACGATAATCACTCAACAATGTTATATCACTAACCAAACCAATTTTTCAACACCTCGGCACGTGTTTCGCTACCTATGTTAACATCAGGAGAAAGGAATGAATTTCCTCCCGAGTGTAAAGTATTCAACGACCACAATTCCAGCCCCAATAGAAATTCAAAAATTTCACATGAAATTACTTCCAAAAATTACAATAGACTAGATCCTCTTGAAGACTCACACATCGACAAAGAACTATCAAATAACTTTGACTACTGCTTGAATACATAGGTCAATTTGAACAGATCTAATATTCCATTTCATGGAAGTTTGAAATAGCTTATCTAATCGAAGGAATACAATAGAAAAATGTTTCCTTTCATCAAAACTTCTTTTCTCTTAGACGACTCAATCAGATATTCAAAATGGTGATCCGAGCTCTCATCAGGCTCAACAAATTTTCTCCTGGTGGAGTCACTATAGTTACCCTTGGATCATCTAGATTGCTAAGAGAATGATTGATTGGGATGGATTAGACCAGTACAATAATTGCCCTTGATATATTGTTATCTATATATTCTCAATTTTCACAATGTCGAAAGTGTATGACAATTTCTGATGTAATGTTACACATGTCACGTCTTGTAGTACTTGTCATATGTCAACATCTGAATTTTTGCTTTCATCATTTCAGCACCTCATGTTCTGTCATTCATCAAGCTCACTTCAACACGGCAGTATGCATTAAGCCATGTTGGCGGCTCTAGAAATGTAACAAAAATGTAATCCTCGATGTATATCTTAGTTTGAGAAACGAATTTCAATATGTTCGTACCGTAATTAGCAATCATGTTCACCCTACCAAACAGGACCAAAGATATTTCAATGGAGACTTTCTTGTCTACCTGACGAGTAAGTAACCTTACTTTCACTAATTCCAAATCTTGAATTTATCAACGGCTACTTCCCTTCGAAAGCTAAGAACTGATTACTTTTTCAGTTAGGTATGCACTGATGATGGCTTTGATGATGCATTATTGGTACAATCATTTGTACATTCACGTGCACACAGCTAAGCAACCCTCATAGAAACTTCTTCCTGTAGAACTAACAACGATGAAACTCCGTATCTAAGTATTCGAAAGGTTTTTTCTATTGACTGACTACTTCACCGGTTATATCAACTCTTCAGATTTCATTACAGTTTGGATAGAAGAAACAAGAATTTTGGAATTAGCTATTGAATAACCAACACCCTATAATGTGACAAATTGCATCCAAATTCTGCATGAGGGTTTTTTAGCAATGCCCGGATCGAATAGGTCAACCACGTTTCAAAAATGTATTACCTAATAGTCGTTCTCGGAATTTTGACCATTTCAACGAACAATAGGCTTGAGGATCTGAATATATTATATTTGTCGACATTATCGGAGAGAGCTCTTTGAGGACTGTATAATATGAATTTTTGTTTTGAAAATCGGTCAACGGATTCCAAATCAGTAGGCTGTTGTGCGTTGAAATTACGCACACTGAATTCTAAAACGGTTCATATTTCGATGGCATGATACTTTTCCTTCGAGGTTCCATACAGAATGAGTCAAATCTATTGGGACATAGGGTAAGGGTGCATTGTTTGGACCAAAATATGGCGATCGAAACAAATGTGACGTAAGAGAATATTGCTGTTGAAAAAGATACGGGACGTTTCAATCCAGAATATCGTATTCGGACAATATTACGTTGAAATGATGTTCATTGCATATTTTCTGATCAAAATCACTTCTGAAGTGTTTTAATCCCCTCCTGAAGAAGCTAACATAGTTGTCGAAACAGGTGTCGGAGCGGTAAAAAATTTGTTTGGTTAGTGGTATAACAGAGTAGTGCAATATATGCATTGATTCATATTAATGGTGAACTATTCATACTGTATTTCCGTTCCAGAATCTGGAGACTGTCTTGAGGAATATCGAGATATCGTATCAAGTTGATGGAAATAATGTGCAGTGTCCATGATGTCATTCTGACAAGAGTTCTGAGTCCATCTCCTGCTTTTTATACTGTCAATATTGGTAATATAAATTTTGTTGAATCGATCTCACTCTTCATCTTTTGTATAAACCTTTGAAATCTCCTACTTCTACAGTTAGACATATCACAAACTAGACTGCTTTCTAGCCAGACAAGTGAAATTAATTTTCCGGCAACCGCCTGGAAAGTACCTGGACTAGGCCGGAAAGAACTTCATCGTTGTCATTGTTACCCACATTGTGTACAAATATTAGTATCTACCTATGCAGTTGATCATATCCAAAACTATAACCGTAGCAATGCAATAGTATATTACATAACTGATGTGGAAAGAGACATATTTCGCACGAGTGATATTTATCACGTCGCCTCGTAGCGGCGAGTGCAGATTCGTAACGAGTGCGTAAAATACACTTTTCAACGAGTTATGAACACTATTTTTCATACGAACATAAATATACATATAATTTTAAACACAAATATAAATTTCAAACATCCAATTGTTTTCAATATAACTTATTTTTATTCGTATTTTATCATATATAATACCACAAGTGATAATATTTTGCCGGAAATATTCGGTGATTGTTACGACAGCTTGTTGCCTAGTAATTCAATGTCATGAGCGAAATTAGATCAGAAAGCTGGAGTATGTCAATCGACGAATATTTCCAGGAAATATAGTATCACGAGTTGTATTCGTATGACTATTTCATGTTTGAATGAGACAATATAAGAAACAGGAAACATAATTTGAGTATATTCCAACTCGAACTGCGAAGAAGAACATAATGATAGTGATGAAATACAGAATTTACTTTTTTAGAAATTAACTACCTACTTATAGTTATTCACAAAGTGGAATGTACAATTTTGATAAACAGTATTTTTTCATTATCTTGGAGATGGTTGCTCTCAAAAGAGTGTATACAATTACTATCCAATTCAAACAAAATAAAGTGAATTTATGTGACATGGAATAATTAAAAAAAAAAAGATATCGTCGCCGAGGGCTCGAACCATCGACCTTCGTATCCTCGCGCAACAACCCTAACAGTTGCGCTACATCAGCTTGTAATTATCTAATTATATCAGTCACAATGACTTGAGTAATTGAAGAAGATTACTTCAAGAAGGAATTTGGATTCTATTATTGTTGTGTCAGACCGTCAAAAAATATGCAAACTTTTTAAATTACACATGAAACGTCCAGTCAGAATAAAATTGTCTCGCCTTTCGTACAAATTATCTCACTAACGCGAATTATAAGTGAATGAAATAAAGTAGGAACTTAGGTTAATATTGTCTCAGATTTGAATCCAAAGCAATCTTGACCAGACACGATGTCAAAATTTTATCGCTGATAAACGAGTTTAGTTGGTCACGTGTGGGTCAATTCCGCTTCTGTATTGGTAGAGCAAGTCCGATAAAATTTAATAAACAAAAAATATCGCTAGAATACAGAAGAAACCATGAAAATGGTCGATTCTGATTGGTTCTCGAGATCAAGAGTGGAATAGTCTATGTTGAAATTGATGTAACTTATTATTCGGTGAATAAAATATTCTTTCTCTCCGAAGAATGAAAATTGAAATTGATACGGTTTGGAAATCATATTTCTCATGAATTCGAAGTTTTGTTGAGAGCTTTGTCGGGAGTTCGTAACCACGCAGTCAAAAGTGCAGCAGAGTGCCGAGTCACGACGGTGTTTAGACCCGAGCCACACCGGTGTAGTCAGCAATTAGGTATTTCGGAATGCTGTCAAAATCAGATTCAAGATGGTTGCTGTACCCAAACAAATAGCTGTCATTCCGTGACTTTTTTAACCATATTTTCAATTGAATTTAAAATGTGTTGAATGCTGCTTTCTTCGCTCCTTTAGTTGATAATTGAACTTTATATACTTAGTTTTATTAGGATTGCATCATCTTTATGAAAATTATTGAATAGTTGATGTGTATTCCTGAGGTGTATTCTGGACACTATTTGGATAGGTTTTGCTTGCTGTTTGTGTTATAACAATGCTTTATTGTGGAATAATCAATTGTAAGAGTCGGTAATATCGTGATAGCATGAAGTTTCATCGAATCCTGAGTGTCTTGAAATCTAGACATAAATTGGAACAATGAATTATCAAAAGAAGAGACAAGTGGATAAATAGAAATGGTTTGATGGAGCAGAAACTCAAAATCTTGAGAGTTTGCACCAAACATTTCCTACCTACTTGGTGAGTTCACTGAAACAGGTAATGAATAGTAGTAAATATAATAGGTATAATGGAAATTTTAGGGAAACCTGCATATCTATCAGATGTTAATAATCCTAACTGGACTCCCAGTTTATTTTTGGGATATGATAGCTTAGCCTCTGACAACCAATCTGAGGAAACTATCAATGATATGGAAACATCAGAATGCCAAGGTGAGGCTGCAGGACCATATCTGATTTCAAACAGGCTGCAGGACCATCTAATGAACAGGCTGTAGGATCATCAGATTTTCAAGATGAGAACCTTAGTATAGTTCCTGAATGTGATAAATATTCACTAACAAATATCACAGCTGTCAGCCTAGTGCTGATCTTATTATAATTTGATAGGAATCACCCCACAAGGAACAGTGTGTTTGATCAGTGAGGCTTGTGGAGAAAGAGCATCTGATTATCCCATAACAATCAATTCAAAATTAATAGATAATATTATTCCAGGTGAGTTTCTGTACAAGATCAATTGAATATAATTGATACCAATCTTTATTAAATCCAGAATTACTGAAAGAGAATAAACTTATTAAATGAGTTTTATTGACTAGAAGCTAGAAATGTTTTATATGTATGGAAAAACTAATTTTATTAAACAGCATGCACTGTTGAAAATGTTCCACTTGTGTTGACTTTCAAATTTATGTATGTCTACTGTTCTAACAATCTTCCTGAACTCATCTGAATTTCAAAAAGTATCTATCCAACTTTCAATTAATACAAATTCAATTTGTGGGTGATTTGATTTTAGGTGACCATGGCTTTTTGGTTGGTGACTATGTACAAATTTTGTATGCCCAAGTGAAGATTCAAGCTTTTACAAAAGGAAAGAAACAATTACATCATGATTACATCCTACTGAGATTGTGGGAACTAGAGCTACTGCCAATGTGAGAATTCATGTGGAGTGAATTATTGGTGCAATGAAACAGAAGTACAGGATATTAGCTGATCAACATGCCAATTTCACTTATAATGTGGTGATGATCCAACTCACCACAAAATCATTACAATTTGCTGTGCAAATATCAACATATGTCCCCCAATTGTTCAATTGGACTGAATATATTATGTTCTTGATTGATGAAGATATATAGTAATAGAGTTGTTATGCAATATAGACAAATCTTATATATATATCAGTCACACTGTAAAGTTCAGGCTGTAGAATATTCTCATATAATTGTGAAAAAACTGTTTTATCAAGTGAAAAAACTGTATATATCTTGAGTGTGGTGTATATTGTATGTGTTCCATTGGAGAAGGCTTGCCATTCAGAGTATTAAGGTATTTAATTTCCAAATATGATTTTGACATTCATGGAAAAATAGTCTTGTCAATATGTCACAAGAAAATTTAAAAATTCTACAGGAAGATCAATGCAATAAAGATTTTGAATTCACCCAAGTGAACTATGACGATGAAGAAAAGACTAGTAATAACTTCACCATTACCCAAACTCTACCTGAAATACAGCTGATGAAGGATAATGAAATATTTCATCTGCAACAAGAAAACGAATTACTAAAAGAAGCACTAAAAGTAAAGAATGACATCATTTCAGATAATGAGAAAGTGATAAGAAGACTCAATAGTCAGGTAGGCTATCTAATAGAAGAATACAATAAAATGATCAAGGAGAGAAATGATAAACAAGATATTATATTGAAGGAGTTGAATTTATTAAAAAAAACTTGACAAAACTTTAAAAAACTCGAACGAAATTGGAAACAATGGAAAAAGTTATTCTGATATACTCAAAGGTAACAATCAGAAGCAGAATATACCCCCACACAATACTCCAGCATTAATTATAAAACCGAGAAATAATCAAACTTATGAAAAAACCAAAAAAGATATCCAAGCTAAAATAAATCCTGTTACAGCCAAAGCTGGCATAACAAAAATTCAAGAAATTCAAAAAGGAGGAGTACTACTGAAATCTAATTCAGAGGCAGAAATAAAACGTTTACAAGAAGTGACAGAAAAAGCCATAGGAAATGAATATATTATAACAACATCCAAGCTCAGATCACCCAGATTAGTTTTCATTGGAACAAAAAAATATAGAAATACAGAAGAATTGAAGGAAGAACTGCGCATATTCAACTATATAGATGATGAAGATATTCTGAATATAAAATTTTCCAGACAGTCAAAATACACCAAAAAATATATAATTTATGTGGAAACTAATGGTAAAACATTTCGAAAGTTAGTTAACAAAATTATAGTTCTTGGATGGCATAGGTTCAATATTAGAGAAGATTTAAATATAATGACATGTTCCAATTGTAATGCTTATGGGCACCTTGCAAAGGATTGCAGAAATCCCTTGAGCTGTTCATTTTGTTCTGGGAATCATAAAAGTAATGAATGTGATAATCATAATAGCCCTTGTTGCATAAATTGTAAAATCGCAAATGATAAATTCAAAGTAAATAATACGTATAATCATACTTCTGATAGTGATGAATGTCCAATTCTACAAAAAAAAATAGCTTCAGCTAAAGATAGAACAAATTATGAATAATATAAATTTTGGTAAATTCACGAAAATCAATGATCTGAATATACTATACTTAAATATTCGAAGTATGGCTAACAAAATTGATGAAATAGAAGTTATATTGAAAAATAATAGAGAAACTCATATCCTGATTTTAACTGAGACTTGGATGAAATCAAATGAAACAGATTATGTTAATATTCCTAATTTCAATAGTATCCACCATTGTCGTGACGATAAACAGGGAGGTGGGGTGGCAATTTATTTAAAGAATGACCTGATATATCAAAAAATTGAAAGCA